AGGTTCTTGTTTCACGCAATCTCCGGAAGTCGCACAGGCTTACCTAACGCAAGGCAGTGCTCCCCCATTAACGCCAACTTGGGGCATTGTTTGTTTTAATTAGTAATTTGCGTGATAACCAAACAGCAAGTCACGGTTAGATTATTTTGAAAGGAACAGTTACATTAACGCATACTAAACAGGTGCTGAAATTCGTGCAGTTTACCTGCGCTGCTAAGGTATATTGGGCGATTAATATTCTCTAAACTTTCTTTGAACGTGACTTTAGTAACACTTTAAACCAAAACTTGAGAGTAACGTTTGACGATTTAATTAAATTGAGCAACAATGTTTAAACGGTTGAACTGGATACATGACAAGATTTCTATCTAAGCCTTTAATACTGAATTAGCGATCAACACATTCTTTTTTTATTCAGTCCTTATAAATTAACGTAGATACTTTTATTGCGTAATTAAACAGTATTGACAACCCTTAAGGATCGCAAAGTAACTCCACTGGTTGTCTGTGATGATTCTTCAGCATTAAACGAGCGGCGTTCTAGTGAACGGCAACGGCAGAGAAGTTTTCTCAGTGATGCCTTAAACTCGGGCATTTTGAAACAGTAAACAACAGGATTCAGAAACGAACTCGCGTATTGTAGTGCTATGGTGATTTGAGCCCTAAATGAATACACATGCTGAAGGAAGTTTTTAAATGCAATGCTAATACCATACGGCAAACAAGTAATGACTGACAAGGCTGTCACCAAACAAAGAGTCTTTGTGAGCTTTCTGCTTTGTTTTATCTGCCTGTGACTGTGTGCGTTGCTCGGTGTTTGGTCCCGTCTCGTTGTAATCCAAATGGCAGCATATGCAACAACTATGATTACAACTGAGCAGATATATGTAGTCACCGTCAAAATACTATAAGCATTGTCTGCTTTCGTAGTATCTGGATCAAGATGTAAGTTTGAAAACATATTTAAAGCTGAAACAAGCCAAATGAACCCAATGGAAACGTGATAGTACCAAGCATTTAAAAGTCGATGGCGAAAAGGCCATAAAATTGCGAGCATTCGCTCCAGAGAAATCAAGGCCATTGATAGCACCGAAGATATTGTTCCGATGAGATCTACCATCGTTGCCATTGTAACCATTCCAGGACTAACATCTCGTTCCAACATTTCTGCAATGGCTTCCCAGAGGAAAAGCGTGATTGCAATTCCCACTGAAGCGTCAGCAACTGCAAGATTAATTAGCAGGTAGCTGGTGCGCTTCAGTCGTTTTCGAATGTTCCAGAAGATGTCAACGGTGATAGAGTTTCCAGTGAGTATCAAGACTGCTTCACAGATGTATACAACCAACCATGGAACTCCTTCAGACAAGGTATATTTAGAGATTTCGTGGCTTGTGTTGGCCATTCTCTACACATAGTTTAACATAAACAACAGTCCATGAATAAGGTTTTGACAACCCGTTTCTGACATCTCCATGTATATCACATGTAAAACATAATTGACGATTGAGTTATTACGACCTTTTTTTTTTTGGAAAAGTCTGCTTTGCCTTCAGGTTCACCACTTGCTATACAGTTGTGATATGCATGTCGTAAAACCAAACTAATCACTCTAGCCAATCATAGAGGACACACGCAATCCAGCGAACCAATCAAAACTCGAAATAGTATGCATGTAGGTAATTCGAAACGCGCGAAAAAGTGTGCGAATGAGTCAAGGTTTATATTTTGGCTTTGCTTGCAATTGGGTGACAAAAGTCACGCGGGGTTTTTTGTCCAGTCGTGAAGCGAATAATGCGAAACCGGAACAAGTGCGAATTCCTTTCAACACTCGAGTAGCTCGAGTGAAAACCGTTGTATTGTGGCTTTAATTGCAGCATTTCATTATTTTGTTTACAAGAATTGTTAGATATGCCATCACACGTGATTCTACCAAGTTATTAACTCAGTGTTTCGTAAAACGAAAAAAGCAATTACCTAAATTTTCAAATGGTTACAAATTAGAATCTGAAACTCTGCGTGAGTTTCTTGTTAAAATTAATTCTGTTTGCCCTTCAAGCTGAACAGTTGATGAAGATATATATCTGTATCAAGTGAGCAAGATAACGTCAAGAAGTTCGTATATTTTACCAGACACATAACCCGAGATGTCGTTACATTGAGCTCGTGCAAAAACAATTCTGTCCTATCCCCAGCGTGGTTTTAAACAGCTGGCTGTTTCTTTACTGCTTGCAGTAAAAAAAAAAAATTGATTACCATGAAAATGGCTGATTGATATTCCCACTACGGAGCTTCCCACCCCAGGCGCAGCCGTGGTTGCTTTTGTCAGTAACATCAATAATTACCCGTATAAAACTGGAGATTTCTGGTTCTAGCGTTAAATCCTTATTCGGTTTCTATCACACAGATATCGTCAAAACTTCTCGTGTGTCGGTAAAGACGTTTTGTATATTTTGGCAGAAAAGAGCGCCGATTTGTCTTTCTTGTCTTTGTTTGCTTTTTGACTGATTTTTTTTCGAGCGGCCTTCTCTCTTTTAACAAGGATGCCTGCGATCCTCTTCTTCATATTTGGGCAAAAGCAATTTCTGTCACATCTCCAGCGTGGTTCTAAACAGCTGGCTCTTAAAACAATCAGAACCCCATGAAAAAGTCTCATTGATATTCCCACTATGAGCTTCCCACCACAAGCGCAGCCACTTACTTAGTCATTCGCGCTTTTGTCCTCACCATCTTAAACTAGCTGTGCTTCCCGTTTCAACCGAAAAATCCTGGCATTATATGTTCATTCAGTTTCTATTTCACGTGTATCGTGAAGGAAACGTTTCGATATTACCCCTTTCCCCTCCCCCTCTCACCTTGTTTTTTTCGGGTCAGTAGTAAAGAAACTT